GCCTAGGTTCCAACAGTAATCACACTCTTCTAGCCTTTTTTTAATACCTACTCTTTTATTTGTTTTTGTGTTTTGCATTGATAGACTCTTGAGCTAATCACGGCCATTGAACTGACTTGGTGGACCAACACAATTTATGTGAAGCCTATGTACAGGGCTCGACACATTGATGTAGTTGAGCACGAGCTGCTGCGAGTAAGCCATATGCCCCTGCCTACATCCTCGTGCGTCGTACATATATATGGAAGAAAAGATCAAAGAATTTACAGCGGAAACAACGCACAAGGTTGATGATCACTGTCGAGATGCGGGGGCTGGGCCAATCATACCCAAAAGAAAACGTAGAGCGCCACCACGAACATCTTGCGCACACATATGGCCACACAAGCATGGCGTGCAAACATTTTGCTCACATGTACTGCTGCAAATATGGATTTTCCGCATCCAGTTTGATTCCTTGAACTGTCCGGACGTATTGTCTTCTTTCACCAGCAGCGAGTGTCACAGCATGTACTGGCCAAGTGCCCATCATAATTTGCCACAGCCAACGCATAGGATCCTCTCTCTCAACCGCCCGTCAGCTTTGGCTTTGCGTGCATGTGCCCTGCCAAGGGATATCTGCGAATGAAATTATCGAATCCTTAATTTCCGTGACTACAGCGATAGATAGATCGCATCACGTCACCTGGTTTAGGGCGCCGCAACGAAGCTGGCATCAAGACCATTTGTCCACACTCCACAGCCAAGGCAGCATACCAACCAACCTCCTGCCGACTACACAACCACCGTCGATACCTTCAGTTTCAAAGAGAGTGTTTTGTCGTCATGTGCGGAGCCAACGGTTCTGATCAGTTGTGCGTTTGGAAAGTGCCCCTCCATTCTCTCTCCACATTTCCACAAAATATCACCCAATCACGCAGCATGGAGTGTGAAGGCAAACTGAAGGATCAAACACAGAGAATAGCAATAACAAAGCTTACACATTGCTACCATGGCCAAAGCCAACGCGGAGAGAACCACATGCAGACAAAGACAGAAGACCAGACCTGCATTGCACGACGATGTGTTCGCGCGCTCGCAAACGCGTTCGGGCAAACATATTTTTTTTCATACAAACAATAAATAAAAAGATCATTATTTTTTCCGGTTTCTGATTTTTAACTCATGTTTGACTAAGAATTTGAACATGACTCCAAGGCAGCAGTTGCTTGTATTGTTGTTTTACATGACATATATTTTTTTTTCAGTTTTTTTCTGAGATCGTTTTTTGTTTTAAAAGATTGGTTTTGGGCGCTCGTTCGCGTTCTCAGGCGGAACATGTTCGTGTTCGCCTCCGAACGCGAACACGATGCTACGCAGCACCAGACTAACACAGAGCAGAAAGATTCGACCATACACGTCGTAAACTACGCCGTTCTAAACAGTGCCAACAGTTGCTTGTGTTGTTGTTTTACATGACATATATTTTTTTTCCAGTTTTTTCTGAGATTGCTTTTTTTTTTTAAAGATTGGTTTTGGGCGGGCGGAACATGTTCGTGTTCGCCTCCGAACGCGAACACGATGCTACACAGCACCAGACTAACACAGAGCAGAAAGGTGCGACCATACACGTCGTAAACTACGCCGTTCTAAACAGTGCCAAAGCACAGCTCTGACACGCACCACCGCTGTTTTTCACCGCAATCCATGTTACAGACGAAAACGTTTCATCAGTTCAAGAGCACAAATTCAAAGATCAAAAGGTTTTTTGGACGCTGTTCAATTTCAAATAGCTGATCATAGGTGTACCAAAGCAATTGCTCCGACAAGCACCACCACTCTTTTTTGCCGCAATCCATGCGACAGACTGAACACTTCATCGGTTCGATAGCACAAATTTAAGATCAAAAGTTCTGGACTCTGGTCATGACCCACATTGGGACGCAACTTCCGACCATGATATACCGGAAAGCTTTTGTGCCGGCTTCGTTTTCTTCACCAGACTCAGCATCATCTCCCCTTTCAAAAAGGCTCAGCGAGGTTGATCACTTCAGGACGGTTTCGTCGTCGCTTTTCCACGCACAAGGCTCTACCACAACGCAATAGGTGATCGTAGGCGTACCAAAGTAGACTCTGGTCATGACCCACATTGGGACGCAACTTCCAACCATGATATACCGGAAAGCTTTTGTGCCAGCTTCGTTATCCTCACCAGGCTCAGCATCACCTCCCCTACCAAAAAGGCTCGGCGAGGTCTATCACTTCAGGAGGGTTTCGTTTCGTTGTTGCTTTTCCACGCACAAGGCGCTACCACGACGCGATAGGAGATTGCAGGCGTACCAAAGCATAGCTCTGACCAGGTCTACCACTGTTTTTTGCCCCAATCCATGCTACATACTAAAACACTTCATCGGTTCAACCGCACGAATTCAAGATCAACAGCTCTGGACTCTTTCAGATACGTGGTCGTAGGCATACAAAAGCATAGCTCTGACAAGCACCACAATTGTGTTTTTTAACCCAATATCCATTCAACCAAACGACTGGGAATTGCGACGAAAAAACTACAACTTCTCATCCCAAACCACCCGACCAGGCATGCACAGAACACCGTCAAACACACGGAAATCCTATACAAAATCTGTCAAGACAGGCAGCACCTGGCGCACAATGGGGAGCCTGCAAATTCCCTGATACTTCTATCACTCCCTAAACTTCTACCAGGCTCGTGCGAATTGCAGCTCTTCTACTTTCGTTGCGACTTCCAGTGCTGTCCCAAATAACAAAACGCCGACAACTCGCCCAGAAATACAACTTCACCAGTGGGGACGATGATCGAGCATCTGGAGAAGCTCTGCTTCCCTTTTGTACAGAAATAAGATCTTCATGTATTGACTGTTAGGTTGGATTAGGTAACGTCAAAGATGCATTGGGGAGGGGAGAGGTGGAGCGGGGAAAGCAGTTACGTAGGCATCCTTGCTTTCATATTTTCAGCCTCAGAACAGAGGATGCGGATGGACAAACAAAAGCAGCTGGAGCATGGAAGAGGCAAACAGCAGAGGGTACAAACAGGAGGATTTGAGATTACCAGGAGGAGAACACGGCAGGCAAATGGCAGTGCACACCGCAAATCTCTTGCATGCAAGACCTGTGTGTGTGTGTGTGAGATATATATATATATATATATATATATATATATATATATATATATATATATATATCGTCAAATAGAACTGCCCGGTAAACCGTAGGCAGAGAGGGAGAAGAGGACAACAAACGAGGGGCTGTG